TCCTCAGTCGAAAAGGCTTCATCAGGAGGGGGTGGGCTCTCCTCCTTTGGAGGTTTTCAAGCAGAGGATAGACGGCCACCTGACAGTAATGGAGCAGAGGTCCATCAGTGGCTATTAGCCACAAGGTATGGATAGGGGCTCTGGGGCAAGTGAGGCTCTGTCTTCTTGGTGCTTGGAGGGGGTCAACAGTGGGAGGGCTTCTAATGTCCTGGCCCTCCTGATGGCAACCTTGTATTTCTGGCCACTGTGTGACAGAGTGTTGGCCTGGATGGGCCATTGGCCTGATCCAACATTGGCTTCTCTTATGTTCTTAGGAACTCTGGATCTGGGGCAAGTGATGCTCTGTCTTCTTGGTGCTTGGGGGGGGACAGTGGGAGGGTTTCTAGTGTCCTGGCCCTGCTGGTGGACCTCCTGATGGCACCTGGTATTTCTGGCCACTGTGTGACACAGAGTGTTGGACTGGATGGGCCTTTGGCCTGATCCAACATTGGCTTCTCTTATGTTCTTAGGAACTCTGGATCTGGGGCAAGTGATGCTCTGTCTTCTTGGTGCTTGGGGGGGGGGTCAACAGTGGGAGGGCTTCTGGAGTTCTGGCCCCACCGCTGGACCTCCTGATGGCACCTGGTAAGCATGGACGGCTTCAAAAGGGAATTAGATAAGCATATGGAGCAGAGGTCCATCAGTGGCTATTAGCCACAAGGTATAGCTAGGGGCTCTGGGGCAAGTGATGCTCTGTCTTCTTGGTGCTTGGGGGGGTCAACAGTGGGAGGGCTTCTAATGTCCTGGCCCCACTGGTGGACCTCCTGATGGCACCTGGTATTTCTGGCCACTGTGTGACACAGAGTGTTGGACTGGATGGGCCTTTGGCCTGATCCAACATTGGCGTCTCTTAGGTTCTTATCTTCTTATGTTCAATGCGGATTCTGTGAATTTAGGCAGATCATGAGAAGGGAAGGCAGGAAGGTTCACAGCAGTGCTTAGTTCTTGTGGCCAGGGATCCTGGTGTGTTTGGGGGGCTGTTGTGTTGCCCTCTTCTGGGCATGGAACAGGGGGTCCCTGTGTGTGTGTGTGTGTGTGTGTGTGTGTGTGTGTGTGTGTGTGTGTGTGTGTGTGGTGTGTGTGGAGGGGAGGTACTTGAGGATTTCCTGCATTGTGCAGGGGGTCGGACTAGATGACCCTGGAGGTCCCTCCCAAGTCCCAACTCTTACGATTCTAAGATTTTCTGGGCTTCCCTTTATCTCCATATGAGGGTTGATCTGTTTGTTTTATGTCACGTTGACTGAGAAGGAAAGAGAGCTTTTGTGGGGGGAATGGGAGGGCAAATAGGGCCGTGGGGATTGGAGCCGCCTCCTCAAGTCCCCCCAGTGAACCCGACTCCCTCTCTCTTCTTCCTTCAGGAGAGAGCGGCCAGCCGTCTGTCAGCTCCGGCAATGGTGAGTGTGGGATAGTTGGGACCAGTGTTCCCTCTAAGCTGAGTCAGTGTGAGCTAGCTCACAGATTTTTAGCCTCCGGCTCACCCAATTTTTGTCTCAGCTCAGGAAGGATGTGGCTCCAGAGCAAACTCATTTATGCAGCAGCCAAATCGCCCGCTCGCAACTTTAATGCCAGTAGAATTTTTGCTCACAGGACTCCGCAGCTTAGAGGGAGCACTGGTTGGGACCCCCGTCTCAAAGGTGGAGGGGGGTGCTCGGTCAACGAACCCGTACCTGCCTCTGTGGGGAATGGAGAAGTAAAAGATTTTCTGGGCTTTCGTTGATCTCCATGTAGTGGTAAATTAGTATATTGTATGCCACATTAACTGAAGGGGGCTTGTGGGAGTTGCAGGGATCAGTACTTGGTCCACTGGAAGTCCCCCCCCCCCAGTGAACCTGACTCCCTCTCTCTTCTTTCTTCAGGAGACAGCAGCCAGGTGTTTTACCACTCCAGAGATGGTAAGTAAATTTGAGTGGGGATCCCTATGTGAAAGAGGGAGGGGGGCACTCTGTCAACAGGCTTGTACCTTCCACTGTGGGGAATGGAGGAGGAGGAAGAGGAGAAGGAGGAGGAGGAGAAGAAGAAGAAAAGATTGGATTTATACCCCATCCTTCACTACCCAAGGGAGTCTCAAAGCAGCTTACCATCCCTTTCCCTTCCCCTCCCCACAACAGACACCCTGTGAGGTAGGCGGGTCTGAGAGAGGTCTGAGAGAACTGCTCTTTTCAAGAACAGCTCTGAGAGAACTTGTGACTGACTCAATATCACACCAGCAGCTGCATGTGGAGGAGTGGGGAATCAAACTCGGTTCTCCCAGATTAGAGTCTGCGCACTTAACCACTACACCAAACTGCAGACAAGAACTGAAAGATTTTCCAGGCTTCTGTTTATCGCCACGTGTTGGTTGATGTATATGTTTTGTGAAGATGGGTAGCCGCCGTGTTAGTCTGTCTGTAGCAGTAGAAAAGACAGGGTTGCCGCTTTCGGGAAAGTCAGGGAAATGAAAATTGGTCAGGGAAAGTCAGGGAAATTGGTTTGAAGTCAGCGAAAGTCAGGGAAATTGTGATTAAAATATATTCACGCAGTGGATTTTTGACCTGCTGCTGCAAGAGCCTGATCTGTTCTTGTGGCAACTGGAATAGAGAAGTAGCAGAATACAAGTTGAACTTAATGATGCCCTTTCCCAACCCTTTTAGATAGAACGTTTATATAATTTTTAGTGTACCTTTAAAACAATAACAAAAATGTTATGTCATTTGTTAGCATTCAGAGTTTACTTGAGGTTTGTATCTTGGTGTAATTTTTGTTTTTTGTTTTTTAATACATTTTTATTGCTTTTTTTCACTACATACTACATCCTACAGGGTTGGGGGAAGGGATATAAACCTAAAATACAGAGTAGCAAGAATCATTTATAAAATCTACTTCAGCTTCATGGCATTTCCTTATTGAACATATAAAAAGGAATAAAAGTTATATATATAATTACAGCAAACAAGCATCATCATATTTAGCCCTACTGCGTGCATTATTACTATGATGAATGAAAGAGAAGAAACAAAGCAAAATATCAGATTTTCAGAGTTAGACTACTTTACAGCTTTCTTTCCTATATGCTTATTTTTTATCAAAGGTCAGTTTAACTTTTAAAGGTTTAGGAGCAGCGACTCCTAGTTCTGCTTCAAAGTCAATCGATTCTTCTGAGGAACTGCTCGAGGTGCTACTGTCAGAACTTCCCATGCCCTTATCTTCATTGTCTTCTGCAGCCTCACTGTCCTCTGCTTTCTCAGTTCCCTTCGTAGCTTTCTGTTGCTGCTCCAAAAATATTTTTGCTTTTGTAATGGAGTCAGTCTTTTCTTTTTTTCTCCTTGAAGTTGAAGATAAGTCCTTTTGGTGACAGCCATCTGTAGGGAGTGGAATCTTTCTGTAGGAATAATATCAAGTCTCTGTATTGTTTCCTCCTCTTTCTGATCTCAAATGGAACGTCTTTCAAAACGTTAACTTCTTCTCCTTTGATTTTTAGGGTTATCCTGTTTGTCGCTTTCAATACTGCATCTTTTGTTGACCTTTTAGAGAACTTCACATACACTTCACCAGGCAGCTTATTTTTTTAAAATAAATTCTAGATAGGTACGATATACCATATACATGTCACTTTGCAAAATTTCCGCTGTAAAGCCCACCACGGATGCAATGGCTTCACTTAAGGTCTCTTTCAGGTTCTCTCCTTTCTGTTCCAGAATACTTTGAAATCTCAGGACATATGCTGATTTTTCCATCTGTAGTTGTAAAAGCTGTTGTTTCTCAGAGGTTTTTTCTTTTCCCACTGCCTCCAGTCTTTGATCTAATGCATTTGTCTTATCTTCAACCTTTTTCAGCTTTTTGGCTGTCTTCTCTGTTCTTGCAGATGTTTGTTTCAATTCCTTTTGAAGCATGTCGAAATTATTGTTGAGATTGGTCATCTGATCCAGCAGGGGGCACAGTGCTGTAGCAATCATATTGGGAAAGTCTGTGGTTACTTCCAGTTTAGAGGCCAGAGTCGATGAGCTGGCAGTTCCTGAAGACGATTTCCCCCTAGACACCATTTTTTCTGCCCGATGCGACATTGTTTACATTAAAGGAAAAGTTCTTAAAAGTCTGTGAAAGTCCAATAAGTCGCAAGCTTTTTACTAGTCTGCACACCCTCGGCTGGGTTGTCGATCTCCCTTTCGAGCTGCCCTTCTGCCCCTCGCTTTCCTCTTTTACGGGTCGATCTTTCTAGGGTTGGGTGAATTCCCCCCTCCCCCTAGGTTTGAGGCTTCGGGGCTGCTTTATGGGTTTTCGCTTGGGCGCTTGTTTCGATAAATGAGCATCAACTCATGCTTTACTCCACGCTTCACTTGCCGAGGTAGGGAACATCGTCTTTTGCCAGATTGCTTGCACACTCTCTTTGGTGTGCGCCTTTGTGTACCATGGCTGGTCTCACGTCGGGGGGACCTATCAGGGCAAAGAGGAGCCTCGATCCTTCAGCCTGCGCCTTAGGGGAGGCATCTCTCACGCCCCAGGCTACGAGCCCCCTCCAAGAGCTCGAGTGGGTCCAAGATCAACTCATACCCCCTCCCACCCAGCGCAATTTGCGGGGCGCTCTCATCGGAGCTGCGATGAAGTGCACCCACCAGCAGGTCGCTGAAACCGGAAGTCTCTATCTTCGTGTAATTTTTGGCGCAATTGCAAAACAGATGTCGCTGCAGTTAATGTTGAAGGAAGCTGATATTAAATCTCTTACTTTGACCAATATTTTTGCAGCTGAGACTTGTGTAGTTGTAGAGTGGAACATTTCATTAAGCCTTGCATTAATGCAACATGATCTATTCATTTTTTAAACTTGTGGTTATATTTGAATGGTGGTCAGGGAAATTGGACAAATGTTGGTCAGGGAAAGTCAGGGAAATGAAAAATGAAATTTTAGTGACAACCCTGAAAGAGTATGAGCCCAGGAGCCCCTTAAAGACTAAGGATGCAGAACCTAAAGAGATAAGCCAAACAGAATGGAGGGCCAACGATAAAAACTTAATGTTTATAATATAAAAAGATACATGTATTTATTAGCAAAGAATTAAAAAACATAAGGGCCCAATCGCACCTCATGTAAAAATGCCAAAATCTTACGCATAAGGGCCAATGCTGTAGTGTTTGAAGTGCGCGGACTCTAATCTGAGAGAACCGGGTTTGATTCCCCAGCTCCTCCCACTTGCACCTGCTGGATGACCTTGGGCAAGCTATAGTTCTGATAAGAGCTGTTCTTGAAAAAAGAGCAGTTTCTGTCAGAGCTCTCTCAGCCACGCCTACCTCACAGGGTGTCTGTTGTGGGGAGGGGAAGGAGTTGGTAAGCCGCTCTGAGACTCCCAGTGAAGGGCAGGGTATAAATCCAATCTCTTCTCTTCTTCTTCTTCCCCACTCCTCCACTAGCAGCTGCTGGATGACCTTGGGCAAGCTATAGTTCTGATAAGAGCTGTTCTTGAAAAAAGAGCAGTTTCTGTCAGAGCTCTCTCAGCCACGCCTACCTCACAGGGTGTCTGTTGTGGGGAGGGGAAGGAGTTGGTAAGCCGCTCTGAGACTCCCAGTGAAGGGCAGGGTATAAATCCAATCTCTTCTTCTTCTATTCTTTTTGACTTACCTCTTTAGGTTCTGGTTCCCAGATTTCAGGGTTAAGTCCAACACCCTTTTGTTCCCACCATCTCAAAGACTAACACAATTTGTGGGAGGGTAGGAGCTTTTGTGTGTCACAGCTCTCTTTTTCAGATAAAAAGGGGCATCTTTTAACTGTATCTGAAGTCATGAGCCGTGACTCATGAAAGCTCCTTCCTTGCCACTGATTTTGTTAGTCTTTGAGGTGCTCTTGAACTCTTGCTCTTTTCTGCTGCTAAAAACAGACTGACATGACGGCTACCCATCTTCATAAAACATATGGTGTAGTGGTTAAGAGAGCGGACTCTGATCTGGGAGAGCCATGTTTGATCCCCCACTCCTTCACATGCAGTTGCCGGTGTGACCTTGGGTCAGTCATAAGTTCTCTCCGAGCTGTTCTCTCAAGGGCAGTTCTTAGGAGAGCTCTCTCAGCCCCACCTACCTCACAGGCAGTGTTCCCTCTAAGCTGAGTTAGTGTGAGCTAGCTCACAGGGTTTTTTGCCTCTGGCTCACACATTTTTGTCTCAGCTCAGGAAAAGATGGCTCCAGAGCAAATGAATTTATGTAGCAGCCAAATTGCTCCCTCACAACTTTAACGCCGGTAGCTCACAGGATAGAATTTTTGCTCACAAGTCAATGTTCCCTCTAAGCCATGGAGTCTTGTGAACAAAAATTCCACTTTGTGAGCGACTGCCATCAAAGTTGTGAGCGAACGACTTGGCTACTGCATAAATTAGGTTACTCTGGAGCCCTCCTTCATGAGCTAAGACAAAAATGTGTGAGCCGGAGGCTAAAAAACTGTGAGCTAGCTCACACTAACTCAGCTTAAAGGGAACACTGGACTCTCCACCGCTTAGAGGGAGCACTGCTCACAGGGTGTCTGTTGTGGGGAGGGGAAGGGAAAGGAAATTGTAAGCCGCTCTGAGACTCCTTCCGGTATAAATCCAATCTCCTCCTTCATGTTTTATGTCCTGTTTACTGATGGGGAAGGAGGGTATGTGCTGGGTGGGGGAATAGCAGTGCAAAAGGGGCTGTGCTGACTGGAGCCCCCTCCCCAAAAGCCCCCCCAGCGAACCTGACTCCCTCTTCCTCTTTCCTCCAGGCGACACAGTCCAGTGGTCTCCGGATTCCACCACATGGAACCCCACATCTGCAGGAATTCCTTTCTCCCAAACCTCGTCAATTTAGCTCATCCAAGCAGGGCCTTCTGCAGGTGCTAACCTGCCAATGGGCAAAATCCAGAACTGCCCATACGTGTGCCTTCTCGGTTGTGAGCCCCGCCTTGTGGAACGCCTTGCCTGAGGAGGTGAAGAAGGCTCCCATTCGTCTGGCTTTCTGACAGAAATATATGCAATACTGAACTATTCAAGAAGGCTTTTCTACGCAGGCAACGTGGAAGAAACTCTCGAGGAGGTGTGAGGGAATGGTGTTGTCAGCAGGGCTATTTTTGGGCAGGAACGCACAGGAATGGAGTTCCTGCTTGCTCCCGAGTTGGCCACACCCAGCAGGAACTCATTAGCATGATAGGCCACACCCAACAGCAGAAACTCATTAGGATTGGCTACATTAGGGGTGTGTGGCCTAACATGCAAAGGAGTCCCTGCTACAAAAAAGGCCCTGGGTTTGGACAACAAACAAGGTAAACAGAATAAGAAGCAAAAGGTGGGTGTGGCTGGATGACCACACCTGGTAACATGGGGGTGTGGCCTAATATGCTAATGAGCTGTGCTGTCAAGGTGTAGTCTAATATGCTAATGAGTTTCTACTGTTGGGTGTGGCCTATTATGCTAATGAGTTCCTGCTGGGCTTTTTCTACAAAAAGAGCCCTGGCAGGGAACCTTGTCTGAGCTTAGGGTATCCAGGTAGCCGCAGAAGCAATTCCCGTCCTAATAAGGGTTTGTCAGGTGCAGGTGCTGGAACCTGAGTTAGCATGGCTGCAAGGTGGTGCTTGTTACGGGATTTTATATTTCTCTTGAAAGTTACACTGCCAAGGAATACTGAGAGTCTTATCACGGTTTCTGAATGGTGAGCCGGTGTCGGCTTGCTACATTTTACAGGTGTTCTATTCCTCCTTAACCCTGCCCCCACTGTAAATCTGTTCTTTGACCTGCTGATTATCTCAGCCAGCGGTCTGAGCCAACCTTATCTTTCAGGGGAGGGTGTAGAACGGGGTGTGTGTGTGTCAAACATAAGGCCCGGGGGCTGGAACTGACTCGTCCAGGGCTCGTATGATGCCCACGAGCGACTTGTACAAGGAGAGGGAACAGGAGACTGCTGGGGGGGGGAGTGGGCGGAGCCCCTCCAATTGTGGCTTCAGCGTGGCAGAACAATCTCATCAGCAGCCGTCAAGCAGCATGGGAGCATCTGCCCAGTGGTGCACTGCTGTCTCCATACGGGTTTTCCTTTGCACCTCTCTCCCAGCCCAGGGGGCCTTGCAGTGAGAATACACCAACTCAAAGCTTACCAGCTGCTGTCCCTTATACAGTTTCTATCTCCGGTATCTGGCATTATGTCAAGGGTCTGCACCATCCTTGGGAGGAAAGCGATGGCGAACCTAAACAGCATGATAAAAAGTAGAGACATCATCCTGCCAACAAAAGCCCGCATGGTCAAAGCAATGGTAATCCCAGTAGTCATGTATGGCTGCGAGAGTTGGACTATAAGGAAGGCCGAGCGCCGAAGAATAGATTCTTTTGAACTATGGTGCTGGAGAAGGCTCTTGAGAGTCCCTTGGACTGCAAGAAGATCAAATCAGTCAATCCTAAATCCCTGCCCACCCAGCAGTTCGAAAGCAACTTAATTGCAAGTAGATAAATGGGTACCCACCCATAGTGGGGTGGGGGGCACCCTGCCTAGCGTGGTGGTTGAGGACGACGATGACGGCGGTGGCGGCAAGACATCGGCTCCAGAGGACGGCGTGGCGTGGTGATGCGGTGGCGGCGAGCGGGCGCAACCGGAGGAGCGATCCCTGGTGGCTAGACGATGAAATATCGGGTGGCCGCCGTCGAGGAAAGGGCGCGCGATGACGCTGAGCGCCGGCACAGCGGAGCCGGAAAGGACGTGGCTGAAGCCGGAAGGAGGCAGGAAGTCGCGCGCCTCAGGAAGAGAGAATTACCACCCAGCGCCGAAAAAGAGCACCCCGCCAATACCAGAGCCAACGGAAAAAGAAGACCAACACCAACCACCACCATAGGGGTGCTGGTAGGTTCCCCCACCCCAAATGTGTGTGGCCCTAGTTAGGAATAAAAATGGTGACTAGCACCGACCTGTAAGCCGCTCAGAGACCCCCTAGACAAGGGGGTTTGGGCGGGATATAAAGTCGAATGTAAATAAATAAATAAATAAATAAAATCAACCCTGACTGTTCCCTGGAAGGCCAGATAATGAAACTGAAGCTCAAATACTTTGGCCACCCAATGAGAAGGGAGCACTCCCTGGAGAAGACCCTGATGCTGGGAAAGATTGAAGGTCAAAGAAGAGGGGGACGGCAAAGGATGAGATGGTTAGACAGTGTCATAGATGCAACGGACATGAAATTGAGCAAACTTCAGAGGACGGTGGAAGACAGGAAGGCCTGGCGGGATCTGATCCATGGGGTCGCAAAGAGTCGGACTCGACTGTGGGACTGAACAACAACAACAACAACTGCACCATCCTTTCAGGGAGAAGTGTAGAAGGCTTGTTTTCCTTATGTCCCTCTTAGGAATGTAGGATGTGCCCTAAACAGGAGGGCAGAGTGAATTATGTTTGAGAATGGAATTGATGGATTCTTTTTGGAATCCTATAAAGGAATAACTTTGAATCTCGTTCAGTATGCTGGCATGACCTGTGCTTGCCTGCTTCCAGAAGGAAAACTCCCAATAAAACTTGCCTGCTTTGTTAGCAAAAAGGCCAGATCGAAGTCAGAGAAGGGGATGCGGTTACACTAGAGTTTTGAAAACTCCCCTAACAGCTTATGCTAGGAGGCTGTACTTAAGAAGGCTATAAAAACAGGAAGGGGAAACAGGTGGCAGTTGGGTTTCATTGGAGTTGCTGGACATTCTCACTGCTAAGAATCCCCCGGCAACTGACGGAACGTGAGGATCTTTACCTGGTTGTTTTGTTTTTCATGTTCTGCAATTAAAGAATCTGTCCCACAGTGCCTTGCCTTGCTGAGTGTTCTTTGGCCACTCAGTTCTTCTTGGAAGAGCCCTTGCCACAGGCAAGAAAATGGCCTCTGGGCACAACAGGTCTAGCTGTAAGTTGAATCCTACAGTGTCATTTTGTGTTGTTTAATGTGCCATGTTAACACTCATACATTGGTCCAGTTCTGGTTTTTAGACTTCCGGTTGGTGCTACAACCCAAATGCTATTTCACTGTCTATTGCAAGGGTGACGAACTCATTTGTTATGAGGGTCGGATCTGACATAAATGAGACCTTGTTGGGCCGGGCCGTGTGTGTCATAAAATGTAATGCCAGGTAGCGGAGATATAAACTTTTATAAAGGACACAAACACAAAGGTGGTGTTTTTTTACTTAAAATAAAAACATGCTTAAAATGTAAGCAGTCATGCGATATTTTGTTTATTTAACAGTGTCTGATAACTGACGCCTCTTGCTCTGAATTATTGCATCAAAATGTCTGTGCTGTTGCAATCTTGAGTGTGCTGTTCAGGTGTGTATCTGTAAGCTGCAAACCTACGATGACGCAGCAGGAACAGAACTGGAAGAAGAAGTAGAAGACAACCAGTTCCACTGCGGGCCTGATAGAAGCCCTCTGGGGGCCAAATCCGGCCCCCGGGCCGCATGTTTGACACCCCTGGTCTATTGAATGTCCCATTGTGTTGACTAGTCTACCTTGACTTGCAGTGAAAAAGGTGGATAGTAAATAATGTAAATGAAAATGAATAAGTGGGATTTGGGACATCTGTCTTAGTGATGGAGGAGGCACTCTGTCAACAGGCTCTGTGTGGGGGTGCTGGCTGGGCCCACCTTTTGAAGGGGTTCTGCTTTCCTCCGGGTCCA